AGGGGAGAGGAGGGGGTGGGAGGGCATGCCTGCTCTGGAGATGGGAAAGTGGGACCACTTCTATCCATTTATTGTTGTTGTTGTTTTTAATTATCATCATCAATCATCATTATCAGTTCTGGTCCAAGCCTGCATTTTACTCTTAGGGAGAACTTTAAGAGAACTCTCCCAGTGAAGAAATTCCCTTTCCCCATGTAGATGTGTAGCTGTTCTACAACTTACAGCCTTCAAGAGTTATGTAGGGCACTGAGAAGGTAAGTAACTCACCCAGGGTCACGCCAGCAGCATTCTCACCTCCACCTCAGTCTCTTGGAGGTGATCTAGTCAGTGGAGCATCCATCCATGACCCAGGCTGAGCCCAGGCTGGCTTCATTCCACTTCATCTCCGTCCTCTTTCTTTCCCTCACCAGTCACCGTGCTGTGACCAGGGCATACCATTCATTTGCTGCTTTTTAAAAATCATCTATTATTTGGGATGGCCTTTAAAAAAGCATTTGGAGTAGAAGCAAATTGTGTCATTTTGGATTATGCACACATTGCCATTAATTAGGAGTCAGTCAGTCTATTCTTTGACCCGGCAATACCACTATTAGGTCTGTTTCCCAAGGTGATTGGGGGAAAAGGAAAAGAACCTCTATATTCTAAAATATTTAAAGGAGCTCTCTTTGTTGTAGCAAAGAACTGGAAATTGAGAGGATGCCTGTCAAATGGCTGAACACGTTGTGGTATATGATTGTGATAGAAAACTACTGTGCTATAAGAAGTGATGAGCTGGTTGACTTTAGAAAATCATGGGAAGACTTGCATGAAATAATGAAAAGTGAAGTGAGTAGAACCAAGAGAACATTGTATACAGTAACAAAAATATTGTTCGAAGAATATGTATGAACAACCAAGTTATTCTGAGTACTATAAATATTCAGATCAAGTATAAAGGAAGATATTATCCACCTCCAGAGAAAGAACTGATAAATAGAAGGATGCATAGTAAAGTTTTATATATATTTATAAATCTGCATCAAATGGTGGCTTTCTCAAGTGAAGGGTGGGGAGGGAGGGAGACAATTTGGAACTTAAAATGTAATGTACATAAAGAAAAAAATTAAAATTAAATGGTAAAAAAGAGTCAGACAATAAACATTTATTAAGCACCTACTATATGCAAGGCACTGAGCTACAAAGGATACAAATAAAGGCAAAAGACAAATGATTAGAATTCATTTTAGCAAAAGAGCTCTCTTATACTCTTCCTCATTCTCTGTTTACATTCCTACATGGGAAGATGATCATTTATCATTATTAGGGCAGTTAGAAGGAGTATATGTAGACAGAGGGCACAAATGTGAGTTGACTATGATGCGATGATATCCAAAAAAATAAAATTGAGAAGTGAGAAAGAGTGATACATTGGGAGAAGGAGGAAGGGAGAGGTAGAATGGGGTAAATCATCTCCCATAAAAGAGGTGCCAAAGAGCTTTTACAGTGGAGAGGAAGATGGCAGAGGTGGCAAGCAACCCTTGAATTTTACTCTCATCAGAACTGACTCAGAGAGGGAATAACATACACACTCAGTTGGGTATAGAAATCTATCTTACCCTACAGGGAAGTAGGAGAGGTGACAGAGAAAAGGAGAGGGTGTTGATAGAAGGGAAGGTGTATAGGGGGAGGTGGTGGTCAGCAGCAAAAAGACTTTTAAGGAGGGGCAGGGTCAAAGGAGAGAGAGAAGGATAAATGGGGGAAATAGGATGGAGGGAAATACACAGTTAGTGATCATAACTGTGAATGTGAATGGGATGAACTCACCCATAAAATGGAAGCAGATAGAGGACTGAATTAAAAACTAGAATCCTACGATATGGTGTTTACAAGAAACACATCTGAAGCAGATAGAGACACACAGAGTAAAATTAAGGGGCTGGAGCAGAGTCTATTATGCTTCAGCTAAACTAAAAAAAAAGTAGGGGTAACAATCCTGATCTCAGACAAAGCAAAATAAAAAAATAGATATAATTAAAAGAGATAAGCAGAAAATTTCACTTTGCTAAAAGATAAATTTGCTAAATTCATAGTCAATGAGGTAATGTCAATACTAAGTATGCATCAAATGGTATACCATCTAAATTCTTAGAGGAGAAGCTAAATGAGTTCCAGGAAAAAATAGTAAAACTATAATAATGGGGGAACTCAACTTTCCCCTCTCAGAACTAGATAAATCTAACAACAAAATGAATGAGAAAGAAGTTATGGAGGTGAATAGAATTTTAGAAACATTAGATATAATAGACCTCTAGAGAAAATTGAATGGTGACAAAAAGGAATATACCTTTTTCTCAGTGGTATGTGGCACCTACGCAAAAATTGACCATGTATTTATTAGGACATAAAAACCTCACAACCAAATGCAGAGTGAGATGGGGACTTGGGGACCCTGTAAATAATGTAGTGAATATAAGTCTTCCCATAGGATAGCTCCCCCAGGGTAGTGAGGCACTTCCCAGGCTGGAGGGTGGGACTATTTCCCCTGTTCCTCTTCAATTATGAGCCAACAAAATAAGGCAATGAAGGCCCCAGTTCATGCCCTGCTACCCCTCCCCAAAGCAAAAACTGGTCATTCAATATATATGGCATTTTAGTTTACAAAGGACTTTTGTATCCATGACCTCATTTGATCCTAAGGACAACCCTGGGAGAGAGGAAGGGCAGGGGTTTACCAAGAAGATCATGGATGGGAAAGAACTTTACAAGCTTCAGTGATAATGATCGGGATGAGGAGGAGGAGGAAGAAGAGGCAGAGAGTGAGAGAAGAAGCAGCTGGTGGGGAAGGTAGTGAGCCAATAAGCACTTATTAAGCACTTACTATATGCTGGGCACTGTGCTAAGCATTGGGGATACAAATAAATGCAAAAAGCTGCCTCTGACATCAAGGTGTATGCAGTCTTCTAGGGGAGATGACCTTTAAATAACTAGGTACATACATGATATATATGGAATACCCCAGACAACACCAGGTGATAGAATGACCGAGCTGGAAGAGCCTTTAGAATTGATGTTCTCAATCTGGGTCTGTGAACTTTTTTTTTTCACAAGTGGTAACTTATTGTATATTTTGTAAGCCCATGTATTTTATTTTATGCATCTAAAAATATGATTCTGAGAAGGGGTAAATAGGCTTCACTGGACTGCTGAAGGGGCCCAGGACACAAAAACATTTAAGAACCCCTGCCTTAGGACATCATCATAATAATGATAGCAGATGTTTATACAGACTTTTAAAGTTGGTACAGTGTTTTACAGGCTCCATCTCATGCGATCCAGGGCTTAGTACCATGCCTGGCACATAGTAGGTGCTTAATAAATGCTTATTTATTTAACTGGACCCTCACAGCAGCTTTGTGAGGTACGTTCTGCTATTATTATAGCCATTTTACAGATAGTTAACTGAGGCTCAGAGAGGTTGTCAAAACAGAGAGTCAGTTGGAATGTAGGACTTCAGAGGAGCACTAGGACCTTCTGGGATTAAGGGGAATCTCTATAGAATGCTATTGTTAGTCTTTTTTTTTTTGAGGTAATTGGGGTTAAGTGACCTTCAAGTGTCTGAGGTCAGATTTGAACTCAGGTCCTCCTGGCTCCAGGGCCAGTGCTCTATCCACTGCCCCTTGGTCCTTCATTTTTGAAGAGGAACAATCAAGCAGAGAGGAAGTCATAGCTTAGTGACTCCCTCACGGCATGCCCCAGCGCCTGAAGGATGGAAGGATTGCAACAGACAGAGAGGAGCACAGGAGGCTAAGTCTCTCTCTATTGGATGTTCTCTCCCAGTCCAAGTTTTTCTTCAACTAGCCCAGCCCCACCCTGCCCCATTCTCCACCCTCTAGTCCATACTCCCCCTTCCCAGCCAGGGTACAAGGCAGGACTAGAGTAAAGCTTCCTGCCTCAGGCGGGGCCTTGGGGAGGAGGGGCAGTCACACCCTCTGGCAAAGGACTGAAAAGGCAGGTGCCGGACCCCTGGTCAGGCTCCCATAGCTCCAGGAGGGAACAGCTCAGGTACCTGGGTAGGCTGTCTCCTTGTTCTTCCATCCCTCTTCTCTTCTGCTCTGCTCTTGCTCCTTTCTCCAACACTATGCAGGATTTCTCCCTTTCCAGCCCCCACCCCACACCCTTCGTTTCTCCTCCTGGAGTACTTCGAGTTTGCCTTGATCCAAGAGTCCTAATCTGACAGCCTCTGCCTTTTCTATGGGCAGAAACTCCCCCACCTCCCCCCATCCCTTGTTATTTTCCCTCATGCCAATATCACAGACATTCCCAGGACATGGCTTGGCAGTCTCCTCATAGTGAGTAAACCATCAGGGAGAGGGGTGGGCAGTCAGCGACCACTTACTCACTAATGGAGAAAGGGAGAGAAAGTGGTGCTGGGTGAGGGTAGACATAGAGAGCCTTCTTTCTTAAGAGGGTGGTAAATAGCTGTGCTGGTCTGTGGTGGATTGTATCATACCTTGTCTTGTGGTGTGTATGAATGTGTGTGTGTGTGTGTGTGTGTGTGTGTGTGTGTGTGTGTGTGTGACAGAAAGAGATAAGGGAGGAGACAGAGGGAGAGCGAGAGGGAGAGAGAGAGAGACAGATAGACAGACAGACAGACAGACAGACAGACGGAGACATAGCCCATTTGGGAGATCCCCTGGAGTGAGTCCCAACCTTTCTTCTCCTGTCTGCCCCTCTCCCAGGGGCACAGTCTGAGCACAGTCAGAAAGGCTCAGAAAAGATGGCTTGGTTAATAGATTAACTGTCACATGTGACTGTTACTGGGTGCAATTGTAGTGTTTTGGGGAAGATGTAGAGAAAGCTTTGCAAGATGAGGAGCCAGGATTGTGTGGGATGAGGAGCCTGTGCTGTCTCTCCTAGGTTTCCTATGGGTAGGACAGTGGGGAATGAGAAGGTGGCTGTTACAGGTCTGGATGCCTCCCTCCTGGTTCACTGTCCTTTCCTCAGTACTGAGTCACTGTCTCCCAGGGCAAGGGTGGGATTCTGTCCATAACTCACAGAATCCTCCCCATTTTCTCCCAGGATGAAGGTGGGATCCAGTCTCAGCTCCATAGAATTCCCCTATTGTTCCTTCCAGATCACAGCTGGGATTTGATCTCTGTCTTACCAAATCCCCTTACTCCCCGATAAGTCAGATCCCTTCTGTCCCCAGAGATCAGATCCCACCTAGTCTCCTCACTCCCTCCCCATAGACTGTGGTGGTACTGTTTTCTCCCCCAGATGGCCCCTCAGCAAGCAATGGGCTCCCTCTTCTGTGGCCCAGGCACCTTCCTCTTCTTCCTGGCATTGGGTGAGTACAGATGGACAAAGAGGGCTGATGGGGCACTAACACTGTCTCTTCTTCTTGCTCACCTGGGGACAGCTGTTTTCTTTTTCCCATCCCAGGGTCTCTCTGAGATTTCCTTTGGCTGGTCCTTGGAGGGTTTGACCTCTGTAGATTTATGGTCTTGGGGGCAAAAATCACCATACTCACTGTCACTCATGAGGAAACTGAGGCCCAGACAGAGGCAGTGACTTGCCCAAATTCACCTAGCAAATTCATAGAGATTTAAGTCTTGATCTCTGATGTTCCAGGTCTAATAATTCTCTATTTCCTTCTGGGGCTCTCAGTTCTATTTACTAGTCACCAGCTTTCCTGGGCAGAGCCTTAGGAGACCTGGGTTCTGATGCCTGGCTCAGCCACTAAGTCACTGTGTGATTCTGGGCAAACAACTTGCCCTGTCTGAGGTGGTGAGGTGGAGAGGTGGGGAGGTTGTGATGGTGACGATGCTGAAGGCTGCCCTTGCCTTAGGGCTGTTGGAAGAATCCGACAAAATTAACAGAGGGGAAAGCATAAGGTGACGTTTACTCATTATGATTTCTAGAAGGACTGAACCCTCCTCTTAGCTCCTCTTTCCCTCAGTTTTCTCAAGCCCTGCAATGAGGTTCCTCTAACCCTCATTCCCTATCCTCAACCACTTCCAGCCTGGGCCAGCCCAGACAGACTATTAAGAACTTGGGCTGGCCCAAAGAGGCTGTAGTTAGGGGTTTGGGAAAACCCAAAGTGAGCTGGGTTCAGCTAAGTGACCCAGAAAGTCTGGGCCCCTCAGGCATCCCCTGGGAGATGTTGGTAAGGAGGCCTGCCAGACCTCAATCAGACTATTGGGATGTCTGACCCAGGCCTTCTGCCCAGCCGAACGTTTAGGGCTGGCTTCCAGATGAACTTAACCTCAAAGGGAGCCTGAGTACATAAAGAATTAAGCTCATTCCATCCATCTCTCTGCTTGTGGCAGGATCACAGCCAGCTTCCCATGATGAGTAAGATGGTGTAGGCTCGCTCTCAGCCTCAGAAAAATAGGGGAGGGAGGAGCCTGGGAAACCAGATGGGGAATCGCCTTTTCACCTCAATAGGTTCATAGACTTAGATGAAGGGGCCTTAGGAGACCAGCTAGTCCAACTCATTTATTTCATAGATGAAGAAATTGGGCTCTAGAGAGGGCTCATGGTCACACAGATATTAGGCAGCAGAGGAGTAATTTGAACCTAGGTTCTCTGGTTCAACTCTAAATCAGTGAACTTTCCACTCTGCTGATCTGTCTTAAACAATCCCCAGCCAGATTGCAAAATCTCAATCTAAATGGTATAGTGGGAAGAGTATTACACTTAAGAGCCAGAGATCTGGGTTCAAGTCACACGGTCTCAAAGATGGAAGAGAACTTGGAATGCAATTAAGCCAACGTGTGTCAGAACAGGAATTTTCTTCTTTTGGGGAAGGCAGTTGGGATTAACTGACTTGCCCAGGGTCACACAGCTAGTAAGTGTCTGAGGTCAAATGTGAACTCAGGTCCTCCTGACTCCGGGGCCAGTGCTCTATTCACAGCATCTCCTAGTTGTCCCGAGACATTTTCTTTGAAAAATTTGTTTCACTATTTTTGTTCTTACATCACCTACATTTTTCCCCTTTATCCTATCCTTTTCCTCTCCCAGAGAACCATTCCATATAACAAAAACAACAACAAAAATTTTTTTAAAGAAAAAGAGGAAGAAGAGGGAAAAAAATCAGCAAAACCAGTCAATACACTGGAAAAAATATGACAATGCATGCGATGTTCCACACCTGTAGATCCCCCTGCCCCACGTTGAAGCAGGAATCTTCTTGATAGTATCCTTGATTAATAAGTTATCCAACTTCTGCTGGAATACATTCTGTGCTGGGGAAATCACTACCCCTGTGCCAAGTTACCTTTGTTTGCCTCTGTTTCCTCATCTGTAAAATGAGAGAATTAGATGATTCCAAAGGTCCCCTCCAGCTCTAAATCTACAATTCTATGAACCTTCCAAATAATCAAAAACAGTAATGTACTACCCACCCCCAACCTTCTCTTCTCTAGAGCAAACATCCACCATATATATTCACACTTGAGACATGTCTGTATGAAAAGTTATCATGCTGCTTCGTATTTAGTCCAGGCAATATTACTCATAAGCTATATGTGGCCTTAGAAAAGGTATTTCAACCTTTCTGGGTCTCAGTTTCCCCATGTTTAAAAAAAAAGGTTAGACTAAATAATCTTTAAGTTCCCTTCCAGCTCTGCCATTCTATGATATCTCATACTTCCAGGTCCTTTTAGAAGGCAGCTTAGGGTAGGGACTGGATTTCAAAATCACACGCTCAATGATTCCCTGCTCTTATACACTGAATCAGGCTCATAGACCTCAGCCATCTGCTATCTGATCCCTATGAGCAGAGGGCTTGAAATCCCTGGGGGACTGGCTTGCCGGGATACCTGGAGTGCAGAGTGAGAGACAGTCACTATGGCGTAGCAGAGAGAGCCCTGGGCTAGGAGGCTGCAGACCTCTTCCCTTTACTTCCTAGATATAGAAAGAAAAGGGTGATGATAAGCGTGTGAGGCTGAAATGGCTCTTATGTTGCAGGTTGTGATTTGTGGGCTGGGTCACTAGATGCTTCAGTTGGGCCAGGCTGGCAGGGCAGGGTAAGGAAGTGGTGATCTTCTAATAGTCTCAATCAGACAATATTCCCCGCCTCCCCTCCCCCTCCACATGGGACATAGGGTCAGTGCACAGGCTGAATGGGCATTTGGACCCAAGTCACAAATGAGGGGAGTCCTCTATGGTCCCTTTGAACTCCAGACTGATGGACACATGATCTGTTTTTGAGTAATGAAGGGCTGTCATGCAGAAGGGATGCAGGACTTGTTCTATGTGGCCTCTGAGGGCAGAACTGAGAGTCATGGGTGGAAGCTGCCAAGAAAATGTTCAGCTAGAAATCAGGAGATATCCCAAGAATTAGAGCTGTGCAGACATGATATGGGTTTGCCAAACATGATTTGGGCTGCCAAAAGGTAGACAGTTCCTCGTCACTGAGGAGTCTTCAAGTAGAGGATAAATAACCATTTCTTTTTTTCTTTTGAGGCAATCAGATTTGAGTGACTTGCCCAGCCTCATATAGCTATTGAGTATCTGAGGTTGGATTTGAACTCAGGTGCTCCTGACTCCAGGGCTGGTGCTCTGTCCACTGTACAACCTCAATAACCATTTCTCAGGGGTGCTGTAGAGGGGCATTCCTAATCGGGTACAGATTAGACTAGATGGCCTTCAAGCTCCCTTCCAGTTCTGAGATACAATAATTCTGTGACATGAATTTTACTAGAGAAGTCTGTTAATCCTGAAGGAATAACTTGCTAATAATAGGAGGAGTTTCAGCCTTTTTTTGGTGGAGGGATTGTGAAGTCAGGAGGGTTCCTTGGGATGGTGACAGTGGGAATAGGTGACTAGACCCCTCTGATTCCTTTGTGTGTTGGGAGGGTTATGTCTGTAGAGAAACCCACATATGGCCCTGCCCCAGTCACCTATCCAGGGGTGGGGAACCTCCAGCCTCTAGGCCACATGTGGCCTTCTAGGTCCTTGGGTACAACCTTTTGACTGAGTCCAAGTTTTACAGAACAAATCCTTTTATTAAGGGGATTTGTTCTGTGAAGTTTGGATTCCAATGCACTTGAGACCCTAGAAGGCCATATGTGGCCTCAAGGCCGCATATTCCCCACTCCTACCCTATGCACTTTCTCAGGCAAGCTCTTCTCCAGAAAAAGATTGGTTCAGATATAATATAGGGTCAGAGCCTTGATCAACATACAGCGTTCCATTCTGTTCTCTCCTTCTTGGTATTCATAGTGCTCAGAGAAGTGGGCATTGGGACCCAAATCACAAGTCACCTCCCTTAAGCTGTCTCTTCCAGACCAGAGCTCTGTGTACAGCTGGGGCTCACCAGCTGCCTTTCTGCTGGGTACTTCCTGACTCCTTCAGTGTCCTATGGAATCGCTGAAGTCTATTTTCTCAAGACAAATCTACTCTCTTGGTCAATCCACATGTATTCATTAAGTGCCTTCTCTGTTCCACACACTGTAATAGGCAATAGAGTTATGAATAGAAAAGAATGAAACCATCTCTACCCTCAAGGAACTTACATTCTAGAAAGGGAGAACAAATACACACATGTGTATATATACACACATATATACACACATATTTGTGTATATGTATATATGTACAACATGTGAATATATATGTATATACATATCTACAGGTATATGTATTTGTGTATATATTTATATACACATGTGTGTATATGTATATGCACAAGGAGAATAAATAGTCAGCAGCAACAAGCATTTATTAACAGTTTACTATGTGCCAGGCAGTGTACTAAGGGCTGAAGATATAAATATAACCAAAAAGAAAGACAATCCCTGCCCTCAAAGAACTTACATTCTATTAAAGAAAGATAACACATAGAAGGGAGCTGAAAAGGTGGGGGAAGGTACCCACAGGGAACAAGGGGGCCAAGTTTGGTGAGTTGGAAACAGAACTAGAAGAAGAATGAAGGTTGGCTGGCCTGGGGCCCTTCCTTAAAATGAAGATTCTGAGAGGAATTCGCCAATGGGAAAAGGGGACCACAGGAATGTTCCAAGGCAGCTGAGGCATAGTGGCAAAATCCAGGGAGTTTACTAGAAGCAGAGTCAAAGTAATTTAAAAAAAAAAGGAGTGACCTACAAAAGGAGGGAGGCCAAAAGCAGTTGGAGGTAGGGGGAGAATGAGGAAAGGCTTCACGCAGAAGGGAGTGCCTGAGCTACATGTTAAAGGAAGAGCGGGAGTGCATTCCAGGCATGGGGAAAGGCCAGCTCGAAGGCATGAAGATGAATGACAGATTTCATGTATGCGGTACACAGAAAAAGCCACTTTGGCTGGATCAGAGTGTGGGAGGGGGAGGAAAGACAGGTCAGAAAGGTGTTCAAAAGCTAAACAGATGGGAGATGCACTGTAGCTCATTCTGCCCCTTCCTTTAGCACTCCCAGGTTCATTTCCCAGAACCAACCACAGCCGTTCCTTGATGCTCATAAGTACAATGACCTGTAGGCCTGAGCCTCTGAAACCTCAGGGGCTCAGCTGCTTCTTTTCCTCTGGGTCTCCAATCAAGCACAGCCACTGACCATTCCTTTGACAGGGAAGAGTCCTAAAGATGCTGGCACCATGGAATCCTCCTTAGTAGAGTATTAGGAAAGAGGAGGACATGAAGGGGAGACAAAAGGTAGGGAGTAAGGAGGCAAGGGTGTAAGTGTTGACTGTGGTCCTAGGCCTTTGCCCTGTCTAGTGAGCTCATGAGTTAGGCAGACCCGGGCATAGAGGAGAGCCAGAACCAGGCCTTTTGTCTTCCTAAGATCTTCATTTCCTCTTCTTTCTTCTAGGTTGCATGGCTACTCCAGGGACCCATCTGGTAAGAAGGTCCCTTTGGGACTCTTTTTGATGGAGTTAGGCCCTCTTTGGCCAGGGAAGATCCCAGGTCATAGGAAAGGAAGATTCTGGGCAGTGGACTCCAAAAGAGATTTAAAAGGCTGATAAGCCTGCCTCTGTGTAGCTTTTAATTTAGTAGGTGGTAGGAGATACACATACTGATAGAGATACTTCCAAAGATCCAAGCAAGGGCAGCATGGTATGTAGAGCAGTGGTATCAAACTCAAACAGAAATGGATTCCTGAGGGTTGCATATTGACTTAGAAAACCATAAATTAACATTATCTATGTGGTATTGTATTTTTATTTATTTCATTAAATATTTATCAGTTACATTTTAATCTGGTTTAGGCCTCTAGTGTAGTGGCTAGAGTGACAAAAAGACCTGGGTTCATATCCCACTTCAGATGTTTATTAGTTCTATCACCTTAGGAAAATCACTTAACCTCTCTAGCCTCAATTTCCATATCTGTCAAATCAAGGACTTGAGTACCTCAAAGCTCTCTTCCAGCTCTGAATCTATGATCTGTATATTTGGGGAATATAAAGCTCTATCAAATCAGTGGACTAGAGGGACCAGGGAATCAGTTGACAAATATTTATTAAGGGCCAGCTCTGGATTAGACACTGGGGATACAAAAATGAAAGTGAAACAGTCCCTGTCCTCAAGGAGCTTACAATCTAACTGGGAAAGACAGTATGTACAGATATAGGTACATAGATACAAGGTGATAGGTGTATGGGGTGGGGGAGGCACTAGCAGGTGGAAGGAGCAGGAAGGGTTTGGGGTAGAAGTCAGCACTTGAGTTCGAGCCTTGAAAGAAACTGGATTTTGAGAGACAGAGGTGAGGTAGGAGTGGATTTCAGACAGTGAGCACAGCCAGTGCAAAGGTGCAAAGACAGAAAACATTAAGAAGGCCAGTTTGGCTAGACAGTAGGATATGTGTCAGGGAGTAATATGTAGCAAAGTTGGAAAACAGCCTGCATGTGCTAATGGTATGTACTTTTTTTGCAGTGTACCAGGGGATCCATTGATGGTAAGTCTTTTCCTTTGTGTCCTACCCATGCAGGCAAGCACTGCCCTTAGAGCACTGCAGCATTTGTTCCAGACTGCAAAGTTTCAGTTAATAGAGAGGACAAGAAAGAAGAATCTATTTACACTTCTATTCCCGAAACAATTTGATTTGATTACATAAAGCAAACAAGTCAAATGAAAACATCAAGTCCCAGAGGTCACTTCATCCAACTCCTACCTGAAACAAGAACCCCCACTACAAAATCCTTAGTATATGATGATCCAACCTCTGCTGGAAGACCTTATACTTCCTGCCTCCAGAGATACTTCATTTTGATTTTGGATAGTTTTAATTATTAATTATTAAGACTTAATTATCAGTGTTAGTTATTAATAATTGATAATTAATTAATTATCTATTATTAGTTAATAATTAATTATTAAGATTATCCCTGCATAGAACTGAAATCTACCCTCTGGTGACATCTACTCCTTGCTTAGTGTTCTGCCCTCTGGGGCCAAGCAGAACAAATCCTGTCCCTCTTCCTCAGTACAACGTTTAAGGCTTCTCTTCTCCAAGACAAGCATCCCCAATTCCATTAGCTGATGGATCCATGACATCTCTTTAAGGCTTCTCACTTTTCCAGTCTCCTTCCTCTAGACAAGCTCTGGCTTGGCAATGTCCTTCTGAAAATGTGACACCCAGAACTGACCACAGTATTCCATAGGGTCACAGGATTTGGGGCTAAAAGGGACCTTAGACATCATCTTGTCCCACTCCTTCATTTTATGGATTGGTAAACTGAAGCCTGGGAAAGTTAAATAATTTGCTCCAAGTCATATAAGTAATGAGTAGTGGGGCCAAGATTGGATTCCAGATCTGCTGATTTCAGGTCCAGTGTTTTGTAAGTGTGGCCTGACCAGGGCAGAGGACAGTGGAGCTGTTACTTCCAATTATAGCAAACTGAGTGCCCTGCTTTTTAAACTTCTGCCTGGTTTGTAGCCATTAATAAATAAAAACAACCTTGCATTTCTGCTTCTATCTTTGGATTTCACAGGGAAGTACTGGTAAATTCTTAAGACTAGCTCTCTGAAAAAAAAATGTAAGCACAGCACACTTTTTAGTTTAATCTGTATTATTAACATTTTCTCTATCACTAGACAATCAACAAAACAATAAATCAAGCCCTGATTTGTAGCCATTGCTGATATGAAGCGTAAATTCTCACACTGAAAATTTAACAGCTAGCTTTGTGAACTAGTTGGAACTGCTTCCAGTATACCCCTGCTTATATTTCTTGCCAAGAAGAGTATTCAGTTAAAGCTTTGTGTATCAATGCCCCTGATAAAGGCAAAAGACCTTCCTTTAATGAATAATTAACTAGCTGTGTGACCCTGGGCAAGTTACTTAACCCCAACTGCCTAAGCAAAAAAAAAAAAAAAAGAGTAATTAGCTTTGAGAATGAAAGCATAAACAGAAGTACAATTGATAAACTTGCTCATTTTTCTTTCATGCTGAGGACATTAGCAGGTAACACCAACCTATTTGTTTCTTTGAACAGAAGCCACTATCTGTGCCTCAGTGCCAAGGTGAGTATCTGGCTTTATTGAGGGGTTCCATTTAGAAAATACAATCTCTCACTCCAAGTTGTATACATTGGACTTAGTACATTCACTACTACCATCTTCTTACTAGGCTGGGTCAGGAAGGAAGGGCAATATTGTATGTGTTGATGAGGCGATGGATCTGACTGACTGAAACCATCTCTTTGTTCTGCAGCATCAGTGAGGAGGATGTCAGGGCAGCATCCAGTGGGGACCCTTCCATCTGTCAGGTGACATTGGCCCAGTACGCCTGCATCCCGGTGAGGACCCAACTTTGCCTATGCGACTAAAACCTTACAATGATCCAAAGCCTCATTATGGACAATAAATGCCAATGTCTCTTCCCTTTTCTCCTTTTAGCCTTTCCCTAGAGTTTCATATCATGTGGTTTTCTGGCCATAGCCTGGGCTTTACCAGTAATTCATTATGTGACCTTTTTCTCTCTCTGGATCTTAGGTTCCTCATCTGCTAAATAAAGGGATCATTGATTCCCCTTCATTTTATAAGTGGGGAAACTAAGGCCCAAAGAGGGAAGTGGCCTGTCTATTCTTTCAGGACCTGAGTTCAGGGTCTAGTCTCTGGGATCAGAAAGACCCCTATGAACATTAAAAATTAACAATGTACTTTGTGTGTGAAGATGACACTCAAAGTCCCACCCCATCCCACCCCCTATCCCACGGCAATAGACAAAGGGCAATAGATGTATCTGTATCCCCAGAAGTGGGAATGGGATGCACTGAATTATCCATACTCTTCCATGACTGATGAGGTGAGGGCGTAGTCAGAGGGCAGGATCAGAGGTCATTCTGGGGCTGGGGTCAGATGTCAATCTGGGGCCAGATTTAGCGTTCACTCTGAGGTTTCAAGCTGGAGTGGGACTAGGGTGTCAAACTAAGAGATCTCTTTTCCTCAGAGGTCATGGCTGCGGGTCTGGAAGGAAGATTTTCTGACATCCCTATATCCTTGCCTTGTGGCCAGAGGTCTGCCCAGTGCCCTGGACCCTGCATACTCTACCCTGCTCTTCTCCAAAATTGATCTCCCTGTTCTTGAGACTGCCCTGGAGAGATTTTCCCAGCAGGTAGGTGGAACTGTGGGCCTCAGCCCCTGATGGACAGCAAAGGTCAGTTTTGGTGACGGGAAACCCAGTGTTACAAATAGGCTCCATCAGGCTGTGTGTCCTCTGTGAAAACACATGGCTTCTTCATCTTCCCATCCCATTTTTGCCTCTGACCTCATGTTATCAGCATGGTAGGAAAGAGCTTTATCTAAATCCCTCCCCACCAAGGGGCATGGTGTAGACCCTACAATCTCTCAAGAATAACCTCTTATCCTATAATGTTTAGGGATAGTCCCAGGCCTGTGAGTCCCACGTGTACGTCCCAGGCCTCGGATATCAGAATAGAAATGTGACACTCAGGTGTGGTCATATTGATTGGTAACTATTGGTTGATAGGCTAATTAATTTTTCCTGGATGACCAGGACACTGTCCTGGGAGTCAGGAGTCCAGGGTTCGACAGTCAGCTCTGCCCCTACCTGGCTTTATGGTCTTGGAAAAAGTTGCTCTTTTCTGGGCCTCTCTTTCCTCATCTTTAAAATGGAAATCATAACCAATGTTCTGCCGAACTTTTAGGGTTGTTTTGATGCTTAAATAGGATAAGGGATTTGAAAACACTTTGTAAATCATCCTAATGGGAGGTGGCATCATCTCTGCTGTTTTTCTTTCTCTCTTGGAATAGTTCTCTCCAGCGGTGCTCTCAGACCAGTGGGCAGGGGTGTTGTTTAATGGCCTATGGGGGAGGCTGGGGCCAGCATTCCAGGCCAGGGAAGCCCAGGCCACATGGTCCCGGTGGCTGGCCCGGCTCCAGCCCTTCCTCCTACACCCTGAAGCCTTCGACTGTCTGGCTGCTCAGAACACATCCTGCGAGACTTTCCACAATCTGTAAGTGACCTCCCAGCTGAAGGGGTCAGTTTCGTGCTTCAGTCGATAGACATTCTGCTTGAGAGTTCTGCTCCTAGCTTAGGCAGAACCAGGACTGATAAACAACAGTTACAAGGAGGCAAATAGCTGCTTGATAGGAGGAAAACCCCCCCTAGCAATAATTGCTGTCCAACTATGAGATTGACAACATCGGAGTGCGGGGAGTGGGATGAGTTTCCAGTCCCTGGGGATGTTCAGGCAGAGGACAGATGGCTCCCTTTCAAGGATGCCCAGGAAGGGATTCCTAAACTTTTTAAGTCTAAACTAGATGATCTCTGAGGTCCCTTTTGTCTCTCAGAGTCCACCAGTCAGTGTGTCCTTCTCTTCTCCTCAGCACCTCAGCCCTGAATGACATCTACTCAAGCCTGGAAGTGGAGAAGCAGAGGAAGATTTTCGAAGGCATGGTGGCCTTCCTCCTGCAAGAGGGTAGGCTAACATTTCCTGAAGTCTGAAAGCACCCGGGAAAACCTACCTGAGGCAGGGCTAGGATTATATAGTCCCAAAGAGAGAAGTCAGTAATCACGTACTCCTTTAAGAGGTATGGCCCTATGACATCTCACCCTCTATGGGCCTCAGTTTTCCTCTCCTATAAAATAAGAAGATTGGACTGCTTGACCTGTAATTTCCCTTTGAGCTCTGAAATTCTATCTATGTTCCAGGTACTATCTCTTATTAAATGTGGTATAATGAAAGAACCTGAGACTAGAAGTCAGAGAAACTAGGAGCAGCTAGATGGTTCAGTGGGTAGAGCACTAGGCCTGGAGTCAGGAAGATCTGCGTACAAATCTAATCTCAGGTACTTACTAGTTGTGTGTCCCTGGGCAAATAAATCCCTTAACCTCCATTTGCCTTAATCCACTGGAGAAGGAATTAGCAAACCACTCCAGTATCCTTGCCAAGAAAACTCCTTAGACAGTGCAGTCCAAGGAGTTACAAAATCAGACACAATTGAATAACTGAATAACAAAATTCTCACAGGGACCTTGGAAAAGTGAGTTAATCTCAGTTTCTTTACCTATAAAACAGGGCTAATAATACAATCAAAGCTGATGTCTACCAGAGGGAATAGATAATTAGCAGGCCAATGTTATGTTTCTTTTTATATTTTATTTACTTATATTTTATATTTATATTTTAAATACAATAATTAAAGACAATCCCTTTCCCCTTGTTGTTGTTATTGTTGTTGTTGTTGTTAAGGGCTTCTGGGTCCTTTGCGGACATCTGTAAACAATGTATTTGCATTTCTAGTGTATTTGGATTTCATGGGCACTTGACTTCACAAACATTTGAATAAGACAGTGCCCTTGACCAAAAGAGGAGACCTTACTTAAACAAAGGGTTAACTTTGAGCCCAGAGGAATAAACAAAAGTACAATAAACGACTTTAAAAATTGTTTTCTTTGGCCATTAGCTGGCAATTAATCTGTCTTTAATCATGTGTTAAGTAAAATGTACCATCTTCCATATAGTAAAAATTAATATTAACAGTTCATATTAATAGCACTTTACAACGTGCAAAGTATTTCCCTTACTGTAATTAATTTTACAAATGAGGAGGCTGAAATTACTTGCCCAAGTTCACATAACTAGTAAGTGTAAGAGCCGGGTCTCGAACCCAGGTCTCCTGACTTCAAGTTCAGATTTCTTTTCAGTAGCCCCATCTACTTCAAGGGTACCACTGCCCCCCTGCTCTGCTTTACTTTTGCGGTATATGAGCACAGGGGAGGTAGCACATACTGAAGCCTCCTTCACCCAGGCTGCTTTGTGATCAAAGGCAATGTGTGTCCGGGAGCAGAGTTGGGGTGTGACGGGGTGGGGTGGGGTGGGGAGGAAGGGAAAGGGGATGGACATCTGATACCCAGGTCTTCTCTGCCCCCTGCATTGTCAGGCTCTGGGTCCCACTGCCAGCATGAGGCTGTGCCGGGCCTAAACTCCTCATCCTGGTTGGCCGATTACCTGGGCTTCTTCCTGGAACACGCCACTCAGGAGGAACTCAAGAGATTGGCGGATGAGCCCAAGGTAGGTGGAGGAGGTTCTAGCTGGTACTGGGGTGTCCCCAGGTGGTTCTGTAGATCATAAAATGAATCTATGAACTCCTCCCCCATCTGCCTCTTACAAAGGCCATTCCTCTTACCCTGGATTCCAGGGCTTAGGACAGGGTCTGGCACATGATAAACACTCAATAAATGCCTATTAACTGACTGACTATCCACTGAGAGCTGCCTTTTCTTCAAAACTCGGTGAGTACCAGCTCCTGATGACTAGGGGCTCTCCAGGAGGTTGGCCCATATCTTCTCTTTCATCTATCTTTCTTTATCCATCAGTTCTTTCTCTCTCAGCTCCAGATGTTAGTGAGAGATCCTGCCACCCTGCACCTGGTCAGCCAGCTCCACCTGATGCCAGACCTGGCCAACTTTTACACAGCTCTACTCACCTCCCCGCCTAGCCTCGACCTCTCCAGGTGAGATGACTCTCATTTGTTTCTGTACTAGCACCTTCAGACCTGGGCACTCTAGAGTGTGATAAATCGAGAAGGGGACCACGGTATGTGATATCGAGGAGCTCTGATGGGCCTTGAGTCTCTGTTCTTGATGCTGAACTCACAAGGAGAAGGCCTATTGTAGAATCCTGTGCGGCCTTAGAAAAATGCCTACCCCATCTCTGGTCTTGGGGGAAGGTCCTTCCCCCATGATATCTCAGAGAATTAAAGGAATAGCCAGGCTTCTCCCCAACCCCTGGGTCACTGAGGGTATATATATCCTTTCTGGATCAAGGAATGTTGACATCTCCTCTCTCTTCCTTTCAAATTCACCTCAAAAGCACCATCTTTTGCATTAAGCCTTTTTCTGACCCCTCCCTCCAGTGGCGTCCTTCCCAAACTACCTTATATTTAACTACTTTGTATATATTTGTATTTATTTACTTTATATTTATATTGAATGTATTTTTACATGCACTTGTTGTCTCTTCCATCAGCATGTAACTCATTGAGAATAGGGATTGTTTTATTCTTAGTACTTGCAACTCTAACACCTGGCACAGCACCATAAGTAGGCCCTTAAAAATACTTGTTCACCTGATTAGTTGATTCTCTTACTAGCATCCCAGACACCCTCATCTGTCACCTCAGTCCAGAGACCTTGAAAAACACAGAGGTTGAAGATGTCTTGGCCCTGGCCCAGAGACTCAACAAGGTTTGCTTTGACCCAACTCCACAGCCTGATGGAAACAAGTCAGTTCTTGAACTGCCATCTCGGGAAGCCATACAGGTAGTGAGTGCCCTGTGGATTGGGTTTTCCTTGGGTGACCAACTGGGGAGCGTGAACTTCCCCTCTATCCCTGGACTTGACCACTACCAAATGAGGTAATGTTGGTAAAAGGCTTGGCAAACTTCAAAGCTCTATATACATATTGATTATTGTTAGCCATGATTGTGATAATGACATTATCATTATTCAGAGAGCAGCCCAGTCGTTTTGGACTATTCCATTATCCTCTCAATTCACATATAAGACAGCTCTGCCCTTCATCTTGTTTGGTGGCTTTCAGGAGTTTGCCTGTCCTAGGTGTGTCTGTGTTGGGTATGCCAAGGTTCAGGGCCTCAATGCTGTGCCTTGGTCAAGAGTTGACTCTCCTATAGGTGGCATCTGGGCTGCTGAGTAGCTTTAGGAACTTTTCAGAGGCCGTGCTGCGTAGATTGGGTCAAACAGCCCTGGGGCTGTCAGTGCCACAGATTGAGGGGCAGATCAGTGGCCAGGACCTGGTGGCCGCTCTGCCCACCCTGGCCCAGGTGAGGGCTTGGAGCCCTGCACAGTCCCGTGCTCTCACCCACAGGCTCTTGGACTCTGGCTATAAGGTAACTGGGGCTAAGGTGCAAGGGGAAGAAAAAATCAAGACAGGTAGCACAGGGTCTGCTGTGATGATGCTTGTGTCTGTCTCCCCACATGTAGGTCTTGGATGGCCAGAGTCTAGCAGCCCTGGGAAGCCTGGTGGGTGGCCTCAATAGCACTTGGCTCCAGAGCCTGGCCCCAGATGTAGTCTTGGAAGCTGTGAAGGATCCAGAATTTGCTCAGCATCTTACCCACATCCCACCCATACTGAAAACTGCATTTGTGGAACAGGTGAGGCCCAGGCCCTGTTTAGTATATGGGTCATTACTGCTACTTAAAACATAGGATGCCTATCATAAGGAACATGGAGTACAGAATATAGACTACTAGAGCTATAGAGAGGGAATATAGAGAGAGCCTAGGCCATCTCTCTCATTTGGCAAAAGAGGAAAATGAGACCCAGAAGGCATTGAAACTTTGCCCAAGCTACAGTGGCAGAGACAGAAATGGAGCTCAGGTGTCCAGGGGTGGGGATCTCTCACCATAACGCCCCAGCTTCAGCATCCCAATCTCGGCCTGGCCTCCATCATCCCTGTGCTCTCCCATTAGGTGGCCTTGGCTGTTCCGAGCCCCATTGCCCTGGTTCAGGCCATGCCAGACACGCTCGCCAATGCCATCCCCAGTGAGATGCTGGCCTTCAGCCCTGATGACCTCCCCAGATTCGATGACCTCAACAGCCAAAGATGGACTCAAGTACAGGTGATCCATCCAGACCTCACTTACCTTGACCCCCCTGCTGCCTCCTTAAAACTGGCCCATGGGAAATGATCTGAGGTCCAGAAGCCCACCCTGTTGCATTCCCCCTATGGTGGTCTGGGTTTCTCTCAAGAAGTGGGTACGAGATATCTTCTGAGGACACTGGTGGGGTTATCTCACTTTCTTCCAAGGGAAGCAACTATTTAGGAAGCACTTTGCAGCATCCCCTTACTCTCCATCTCCTACATCCTAATGAGACACCTCCCAAACCCCCAAACTCTATCCTATCCCCAGAACCACTGACTGATGACACCCTAAGAATTTGTCTGGCTGGTTGGTCAGAGGTTGCCCAGCACTGTGAATTAAATCTCACCTTTGGAGAAGGGGAGACATTTGTCAAAAAGATAGAGTTCCAGCTGGGGGTAGGGGGAGGATAGGTGGAGCAACTGGTGTTTTGCTGCAAGAAACTTTTCCTATTTCCCCCAGGCAGCCATGTTTTTCGATAAAGTGGTAAAGAACGTGTCTGACTTTAATAGGTGGGTTTCCCAATCTCCCTAGGTCCTGGCCATGGCCACAGGAGGCCCTGGTAGGTGCTTATGAATTATTTGTTCTGCTCAAAAATTGAGGCTATTGTTGTCAAATGGATGAGGGGAATGCTACTGTGGACATTGCTATCATCAGGTCTTTCTACCCTGGTGGATGTGTCTATCTTGCTTGCTGCCTCCTACGAACTCATTCCCACCTTGGCTCCTGCCAACTCTTTCCCTAATCCAAACCCCTGGAATTCCCCCGTCCCCTTCCTTTATCCATCCTTTTAGCCCAACTTATGCTTCACCTCCTCTGGAAATCCTTCCTTGGTCACCCCCAACTCATACTGATCTCGGATCAAGTCAGCAAACCTCATCTATTGTCTACTATGTGCAAGAGAAGTACCATGGTATAGTGGATAGAGAGCCAGCCTTGGAGTCCAGAGGTCCCTGGGTTCAAAGCCCATCTCTGATGCATGCTAGCCATGTGTCCCTTAACACTGTAGGGCTCTAGGCAATTCTCTAAGATTAGACCCTGCAGATGAAATTACGTTGAGAATGGTATTTACTCAGTGGAGTTGACTATACCGATGAAATTACAAGTTTAGGCCACAAAAAAGATTCAAAATTCTGCATTGGGCAAACAAAGATGGATAACACACGTGCACACACACACACACACACACATGCACGCACACACGCACACACGCATGCGTGCGCGCACCCCTCTATGCAACCCTTTACTGCATCCTCCTCGGTGGCACCCTCTAACTTTTCCATGGATGCGTTTCATCATCCCAGCTGGTGGGTGAGCTCCTCTCAGGCAGGCCCAGCCTTAGGCCTCTTACTCCTCCGTCTCTCCTCAGCTCATCAGCTCCTCAAAGGCAGGGTCACAGAAAACGAAGAAGACAAGAGTGAAGCAGAAACCCTGAATCTGCAGTCAGACGATACCAGTTTGAATCCTTACTATGCTACCTATGAGAGGCTGGCCAAGTGCCTCTGGGCCTCAGTTTCCTCACTGAGCCATAGCACCGATGTCAGAGGGCTGTTGTGAGAATCAAATGATATTTCATGTGTGTATGTGTGCACAGCATGCATATATACATGTGTACATGTACACACATGTGCATGTAAGGCATGCATGTGTATATACACACATAGTTCTTTATAAGCCTTAAAGCTCTCTGTAAATGTTAGCTATGAGATCACAGGGCTTGGATTAGATGATCTCTAAAGTCCTTTCCAGCTCCCAATCCCCCGATCCCTTTCTGTCTCTTTTCCCCTCCCACCTCCCAGACTTTGAGCTTTTCTAGGTCAGGGCTCCAAGCCTCCTGGACTGCCCTGTCCCTTGTCTCTCCTCCTGCTCCGTGTGCCCAGCACCAGGATGAACGTGCAGCAGAGTCAGGTTGAGGTGAAACCCCACACCCCGGACGGGGACTTGCTCTCCAGACCCTCAGGCACGTAAGGGAGCCCACTGTTGCAGGAGTCACTGTGTAGACGGCCTGGCCTCTTTATTATGGTTTCTCCTCATCATAGTCACAGATGTAGAGCTAAAAGTGACCTCAGAAGCCGTCTAATCTGACCTGTTCATGTTACAGATGGAGAAACTGAGGCCCAGGAAAGTTAAATAACTTGGTCAAGGTCATGCAGTAGTGTCAGAGGCAAGATTTGAACGTAGGTCCTCTGACTCCCAAGGCCCACATGCTCTTTCCACTGAACTAGGACATCTTCTACTACTTCGGAATTAAAAAAAAAACATGACCAATGAGGAAATTCGTTTTTGTGATGGACTGCATATTTGTTATAAGGAATTGATTTTTTTTGTGAGGCAATCAGGGTCAAGTGACTTGCCCAGGGTCACACAGCTAGTAAGTGTCAAGCATCTGAGGCCAGATTTGAACTCAGGTCCTCCTGACTCCAAGGCTGGAGCTCTATCCACTGGGCCACCTAGCTGCCCCAAGATTTTTGTTGTTTTTTTTTTTTTTTCAAAGAGTTAGGGGCTAGGCGGGAGAAAATAGATTTGTTAATTAAAAAATAAAACTTTAATAAAAAAAAGTCATATCACTAATTGGTAATTAGTGGCTATTGAGACATTATAAAAGAAGCCCAGCAGAAATGTCTGCTCCTTGTGATACAGCTGCTGCTGTCCAGGACCAGGCCCAGCTCAGACTGACCCAGCCTCTTCTCCCTTCCCAGCCTCTCCCCTTATATTTTACATGGCTTCACATGTGCATCAGCCTCTAGCCTGGACATGGAACAAGTCCGACACCTGGCCAAGGTCATGGAAAGGAAAAACGTCTCGCTGGGGGCAGAGCAGGTCGGTGGGCTTCGTCCATCTGTCTGTCTGTCTGTCTGTCTGGAGATGGGGGGGGATGAAGGATGGGTGGGAAAAACCTGCTGGCCACAGGGACCGCCTTTCCCAGGACATCCTCAGGAAGCCTCAGACCAGGCAGAACTGGGAAGTGGAGAAAGTTGGCCTTGACCTCTCTCTGGTGCATCTCTCCTCCTGCTACTGTGAGGCAGGCCTGGGCAGTGCCATTCCTGGCCTTTCCACAAGGCCTCAATCTCTGCCAGGGCTAGTAATAATAATAATAGCTGTCATTCATGTAGAACTTTAAGGTTTTCAAAGTGATTTACAAATATTATCTCATTTTATCTTCCCCGCAACCCTGTGAGGTTGGTGCAATTAATACCCCCATTTTACACTGGAGGAAACTGAGGCACAGAGAGCGTAAGTAATTTGCCCAGGGTCACATGGTTAGTAAGCTTCTGAGGGAGGATTTAAACTCAAGGCTTTCTGACTCCAAGGCCAACATTCTGTCCACTTGTGTCACCTAGCTGTCTTTGATTCTCTGATCAGAGAAATAAATTCAAGCCACAGTGTTGGCTTAAATGATTCATACCCAGTGGATAGCACATTGTACCTGGAGTTAAGAAGTCCTGAATTCAGATGTGACCTCAGATACTTATTAGACGTGTGACCCTGGACAATTCATTTAGCTTCTCTTTGCCTCAGTTTCCTCATCTGTAAAATGGGGCATAATAAAAGCATCTATAGAGAGGATAAAATGAGATGTTTGTAAAGCACTTTGCAGTCCTTTAAGTGTTATATTTTTTGTTGTTGAGTCATTCTCAGTTGTGTCCGATTCTCCCCATTTGGGGTTTTCTTGGTAAAGATACTGGAGTGGTTTTGCCATTTCCTTCTCTAGCTCATTTTACAGTTGAAGAGCAGAGGCCAGGGTTAAGTGACTTGCCCAAGGTCACACAGCCAGTAAGTGTCTGAGGCCAGATTTGAACTCAGGAAGATGAGTCTTCCTGCCTCCAGGCTATTATTGTTGTATGACTCTGGGCAAGTCACTTAGCCTGTTGATGCCCTAGGCCAGAGGTGTCAAATATCAGCCAGGCTGCATACTGAAGCAGTGTTCCTTAGTGCTGCCGGAACCAGAATAAATCGTAATTGGGAAATATTTAACAAAATATGTCAAAATATAATAGAACACAGGTAATGTTAATATGTAGTTTTCTAAGTCAATATGGGGCTTCAAGAACCCTTACATATCATTTAGTGGTTCTCCCTTTCTATCTGAGTTTGACACCACTGCCCAAGGTTACTCTCTAAGAGTCTAAGTTGCTATTATGATGATTATCATTATTATTAATAAAAATAATATATGAACTGAGCCTGCAATGCCCTAGCCCCGGAGGGTGAAGCTCTATTGGGAGGATTTCAGGCCAGTGAAGGAGATACTTGGTCCCCCTCAGATGGCTCACAGGGAGAGACAACCTCAGAGCCTCAGGTAGAAACTTAGCTCTCTCTGCAGTTGAGCTGCCTGGCCAAGAGAGTCACTGAAGACGGCATTCCTGAGGACCTGGACAGCTACCCCAGGGACATGCTGCTGTTTCTAAGGTGGGTTCTCGGCAAGGTGATTCCTCCCCAGCCTTTACCCCTACTACCCCAACCCAGGAATCTATGGCATCAGGGTAATAATAATAATAACGATAATAACTGCTAACATTTATGTAACACTTAAAGGTTTGAAAAACTTTTTCTATATAGGATGACCCCAAAGTTGTAGGGACACCCTGTATATTACTTCATTTGCCACGGCGGTAACCAGGACTTGGACCTCAAGATCCCAGGGCCCATGTTGTCACAGCCATCGCAAGGTCACACAGCTAGTAAGTGTCTAAGGGAGGGTTTGAGCCTGAGTCTTCTTGACTCTCTAGCTGTATGACTTTGAGTTGGTCACTTAACCCTGTGTCATCTTTGTCTATTTCATAGCCCTAGCCCCATGCTGATACTGTGTTTGTAGCTGAATGGCTGAGTGGATAGAGTATTAGGCTTAAAATCAAGAAAGACTGGGGTTCAAACCTGGCCTCAGGCACTTATTAGCTGTGTGACCTTGGGCACGTTACTTAACCCTGTTTGCCTCAGTTTCCTCATCTGTAAGATGAACTGGAGAAGGAAATGGCAAACCACTTCAGTACCTTTGCCAAGAAAACCCCAAATGAGGTCACAGAGAGTTAGATACAACTGAACAACAACAACAAAACTTCTTAACTCTGAGCCCAGTGCTCTAATTACTAGGCTACCTAGGCGTCTAGAGCATGATTCTATGATCTCATCTACCCAAGGGTGAGGGAATTGCACCACCAACTCTTGGATGGGTCCTCCTGTGCCTCCTGCCACCATGGTGGGTGCCATGAATTCTATGATAGACTCATAGAATGTCAAAGCTGAGAATGGCCTGGAAATCTATGTAGCCCATTTTATGTGTGGAGGAAATGAGGCTCAGAGAAAGGAAGTCACTTGTGCCATATCAGACTGCAATTTGGTGATAGAAACGACATTTGAATTCCAGACTTCGTGGCTTCCCAATCAAGTAAATTCAGCAAGCACTTATTAAGCACTTACCGTATGCAAGATATGGTGCTAGGTACTAAGAATAAAGACAAAAAATGAAAACATGGGCACTGTCTTCAAGGAACACTGAGATAGTGAGGACACAACATTAGAAATGGGTGTTAGGTCTCATAGGCCAGATTCAGTTTCCTCCTATAGAAAGTGTGATGGTTGGATTATATGATTTCTAAGACCCTTTCCAGCTCTAATATCTTATGAATCTGCCACTATGGCATGGTTCCCCTCATAATGAGTAGGTCCTACCTTGCCTTCTCACCCCCGCCCCCCATAGGAATGTATCTATCCACCCAATAGTAATGTACAGTAATGGCCATAGATGATGCCTACCAACATGGAGGAAAGTGGCATTTTCTCTTTCACTTGGAAGCTCATGTTATCCCAGAGACAACACAGGAGCTAGCACTCCCAGCTTAGGGCCATATTTGTGACCTGGTCACACTATAAGAGTAACAAGGACAAGCTAGAGCATGGTTAGAAGAAGGCAGCCAGGATATTGAGAAGAGTAGGGAACATGATATCTAAGTATTGGTTGAAAGAAATGGGGATGTTTTAACTGGGAGAGGAGAAAACTTAGGGGAAAACATAGTAGTTCTGTCTTCTACCATAGTACGAGCTGTGGAAGCAGGCTTGTTTTGTGGGATTTGAGACTGAGATGGGGGACTGAGGGGCACTAGGACCAATGGAATTATGAAGAAACAGATTTGGGCTCAATATAAGGAAAAACTTTCTAACATTAGACTGTAAGCTACTTGAGGGCAAGGGCTGCCTTTTGCTTCTTTTTGTATCCCCAACACTTAACACAGTGCCTGGAGTGTAGTAGGCTCTTAATAAATTGTTTATTGATTGATCGATAACAGAGCTGCTCAATAATGAAATGGGCTGTTTTTGAAATATCATGAAATATTCCCATCCGTGGAAGTGCTTGAGAAGAAATCGGAGGACCAGCCTCCTTATCATGAACCTTGTGGGAGATTAGCTTAGATATCCTGGGAGGTTCCTTCCAGCTTTGAGCATCTATGATTCTGTGAAATGTTGTCAGGGAGCTGATGTGAGAATATGCTATTGGTTCCTTCCAGCCCTTCTGCCTACACAAGGACTGGAGACTGCAAAAATTTCTTCATTCGGGTGGGAGAGTCCAACCAGGATGTCCTCCAGAAAGACTCGCCCCTGAGATCCAGACTGCTATCAGAGGCCCTGACTTGTCTGGTAGGGAGCTAGGGTTGGGGAAAGGAGGGAAAATTGGGCAGGTTGTAAGGGAGGCCAGGGAAGGTTGGGCTGAGACTTGGGCTATTTATTGGCTGGAGCCAGCTCTCTACCTTATTGCCATCTGGCAAATTATGTCCCTGAGGCTGTTCTAGGTTTTGAGTTCCACAGGGTGCCGGCCTTGAAGATGGGCTAGGAATGGAAAGGAATGTCCACTCTAAAGCCCCTACCAGTCCTGGTTGGGATGGTGGTGGGGAGAGAACACTGGACTTGGAATTCCCACTCTACTAATTGCTTGCTGTATGACCCTAGGCAAGTTACCTCAGCTTTCTTTGCCTCAGTTTCCTCTTTGTAAGAATAATAATAATAATAATACTCATTTTACCTATTTCTAAGCATTTTTATGAGAACAGCACTATAGAAATGTGAGCTGTGCTTCTCTCTTCTGTTCTTCAGAGATGGGGGAAGGGAAGATTCAGACTCAAGCGGAATTTTTAAAAAGGGGGCTGAAGGAGGGACCCCAGGAATTAAAAGTACTGATTTTCAGTAATGTGTCCCACATAGCAATTCTACTATTTCCCATCCATGTAACCTCAGGCAAGTCTCTAAACATTCTTGAGCCTTTGTCTCCTGATCTGCCAAATGAAGATGTTGGACTAGATCAGGGGTGGGGAACCTGTGGCCTCCAGGCCACACGTGGCCCTCTTGGTCCTTAAGTGAGGCCTTTTAACTGAATCCAAACTTTGGATTGGATTTTTCCAAACTTTGGAAGTTTGGATTCCATTGAAGGCTGCACTTGAGGACCTAGAGGACCACATGTGGCCTCGAGGCCATAGGTTCCCCACCCCTGGATTAGATGGTTTCTAAGGTCCTTGATAGCTATGATAATGATAGATCATATAAAGTTTGCAAAGTGACTTATATATATTATCTCAATTACTCTTCACAACAGCCCAGAGAGGTAGATGCCATTGTTATCCTCATTTTACAGATGAGGAAACTGAGGCTCAGAGAGGTTAAATGATTAATTTGCCCAAGGTCACATGGCTAGGAAGTATCTGATTGTGGATTTGGGCCTTCCTGACTTCAAGTCTGGTACTCTACCCACTACATCTCCCCACTAACTACAACAAAGAGGTGTCAATGGAATAGTCACGAGGGATTGAGAGAAATCAGATTGCGCTCCAAAGCCACGTCTGTGAAAACTGGGTTAATTTTGAGGTGCGGCTCTGTAACTTCACCTGTGTGTAATTCTAATAGCACCTCAGCCTCCTCCCCTCCATCATCCACCCAATACAGGTCTGCTCCCTACAGTCAGAAACTGCCAGACCCCTTCGCACACAAACACACTGTCCATTTCTGTCCCATTTCACTGTTTATAAACCAATGTCCTCAGAGCAACTCTGGGAAAGAGTTTATTAGACCCATTTTACTGAGGAGGACGTTGAGGTTCGGTGATGGAAAACGGATCACAGGTAGTGAGAGACAGAGCTAAACTTGGGTTTTCTGAGTCCTGTCTCCTTTCCCCTACATCACATTCCCTCACCCACAAAGACTCAGAAATTTTAAACTGGGCATGCCCTCCTTAGAGCAGAACTACATCTAGAGGTAGGCAAGGTGGGCAGCTCCCTAGGATGCCCGCAGAGGAGTATGGCAAGAGATGCTTCTTCTATTTTTAATGTGAGAAAATTCTTTTCTAAATAGCTTACAAGTAATTGCTTGGTGATGAGTCAAGTTAAATGTGATATAGAAAAGGCCCAAAGCATAAGATAGATATTAACAAACGGGTTAATTTTCAAGACCCTCAAGGCCTTCTCTGAGTCCTGTTCCAGAGGGATGGATGCTTGCCCAGAGACAGGGGAAAGAATGGTCAGGAAACTGTCACCAAGAGTCAAGAACTTAAATGGGAGAACACTGATGTAAGGTCAAATGGACCGTGGGTGGATGTGCTTTGGCAGGGGTCCTAGACTGCAGGTGTTAAGTCAGGTTGAGAGGGCTGGGTTGCTGTCATAGGGCATCTCGGGCACACAAGTCAGCGAGGAGGACATTCGCATCCTGGGCTGGCTGGCCTGTGACCTGCCCGGCCGCTACATAAACAGCTCTGCGGAGGTGCTCTTGCCTCGGTTGGAGCAGTGTGGTGGTCCCTTTAGCCCTGACCAGAAGGAGGCCGTCAACCTGGCCCTACGCTCCAGTAATTCTCCCTATGGGTAAGACACCCCCCTCAGAGCCCATGGAAGAGTGAATGAGAGGGTTGGTGTGTATGTCTGTGTGTACATAGGGTACACATACAGGAAGATGCATGTGAGAACTGGTATAAGTGAGCATGTATGTGTATGCATACATGTGACCTTGCTTTGGTCTTCTTGAGGGTGTTTTTATCTGTTTCCAGCCTGAGGGGGAGGTAGCTGGGCCTGGGTGAGGCTAGGTCAGGCCCCACCTCAGCCTCAGTTGGGTCAGTCCTTTCCATCTGACCATCTTTTGACTTCTGCCTGTCCATCTGTGCAGCCCCCCCTCTAGATGGTCGATATCCACCCTGAATGCTCTTCAGAGGCTGCTTTCATCTTTTGACAGACACATCATTCAGAACATCTCCCAGGTAAGCTCCTTACCAAGAGGAGAAAAGAGAGGGATAACCTTGATCACAGAGTATGGGGGTGATGGAGGGAGAACGGGTGGGTGGGGGAACCCAGATCCAGACATATAAGAAGGTAATGCCAGTCTCTGAAAGCAATGGCTGAAATTCCACCATTAGAGCTTTGTCCCTCTGGTTCAAGGCCCTGAGGCCTGTGAGAATAGGCCTTTCGGTCTTTGACTTCTCAGTGTGAAATAAAATCTAAGAGCAGTTCCTAATGAAGATGGAGGGAAAGGGTCCAGAAGAAGCCTCTTTATGCGGACAAAGAATAAACTTCGCTGAATTCCCCATCCTCTTTTTTCCCCTTTACACTACTGCTGCCCTCCCTTGCCTCTACCCCCACCCTCCAAAAAAAAAAACCTGACCTCTAAACAGAGGGCCTGAATGGGACTGTCTCCCCCTAACCAAGAGCTTTTGTATTTTATTAGGACCCCAGAGGCAGGGCAATGCTTACTCTAGTGGGACAGAGCTCTAATAGAGGAATTTCAGATGATGGGGGGGTTGGGGGATGGGAGACCTAGGAATCTCTCACATCACACCTGATAAATAAATGGGTAGGGCATGCCCTGGGCATGGTGACTTACCCAGAATTCCACAGTGAGTCAGGACAGACTTACACCACGCCAAGCTGTGTATCAGCCTTTGCTACCACTCAGCAATGACCCTTTCCTCTCAGAGTGTTTTGAGTGCCTGGCTAAAACGTGCCCTCCCGTTCCCTCCCTGGGCCGGGCAGAATCTGAGAGCCTTCATCCAAAACCACCCGTCTTCCCGATATAGGCGGGCTGCTAGTAAGTGCCTGGGGACTCCTGGGGGGGTCAGCCTTCAGTGAACACATCTTGGTACAGTGGGCCCACCTAACTTTCCAACATGGGATCCTGGCCTGCCGACCTTGGCGTGGAGCAAAGGCCAAGCTTGGAAGTTACTGTCAGAGACAGAAAGGGGGAACATTTCTAAAAGTGGTCAAGGCCAGTAAGAAGGTGAGCAGGGAGCAGAGAGGAGAAGGGCCAATCAGGTATAAGGGAGGAAATTTCCCTAGCTAGGAACTTCTGACTTCCATGTGAGTTAAGGAGGAGAGAAAATTGGCAGGGGGAGGAGCAGGAGAGAGAATTGTGGGAGGGACAAAATAAGAGAGATATGGGGGGAGAGGAGAGGAAAAGAGGAATGGGAGAAAGGAGGAAGAAGGGGACAGAAGTGGATAAGAGACAAGGGGGGAAAGGGAAGGAGAGAATAAGGGAGGAAAGGAAGGGAAAGAAAATAGAGGAAAAAAAAGAAAATAGAGCACAAAGGAATGGGAAACCCTGACCCCTTCCCAAGTCTCTGCCAATAGCCAGCACACCTGACAGGAGAGAGTGAGAGCCGAAAGAAAAGGAGGGGGAGAGAACTAGGCAGATGAGAGAGAAGAGAGTGCTGGGGGGAGAGAAGGTAACAGAAGGGCAAGGATGTAGCAGGAGGAACTTTCAGCTTCTCACTTGTGTGGGAGGAGAGGAAGAGGATGAGAACTGGGCCCCAGGGTTCAGATCAATGCCTGCTATTGTAGGGCCCACAGCTCAGTGCGGGAAAGCGGAGATCACAGATATAACCGAAGACCTGGTGTTGTACTCAGAGGAGGCGTTGCGGAACTGTCTGAACGCATCTGTGGTGGCAGTCAACTTGCACAAACTCAAGGACTTCCCCTTCACCTATGAGCAGGAAGCGATCTTCAAGGAAAAACTGGATGAGGTAACTCGGGCCTCAGGCTCCCCCACCCCCAAATGGACATAATCATCATCCCTCCTTCTCCATATTCTCATCAGACCTGTTGTGGAAAGAGCGCCAGGCTTGGTGTTTCACACAGGGGTTTGAATTCTGCTTGTGACCACCACTTAATTTCTCTGGGCCTTAGTTTTCTCATCTGCAAAATGGGAATAATAACAACTGGCCTGTTTACCTCACAGGGCCTTGGTAAGGACTGAATGAAATGATGGGTGTTAAGCAACCTCGAATGTGTTGTCAATGTCAACTATTGTCATCCTCCTAATGGTCCTGGGAGGTACTGTTGTTCCCATTTTACAGATGGTGAAACTGAGGGCCAGAAAGAGGAAGTGGTCTATCCCAAAGTCACATAGCAAGTTAATGGGGGTGCTGGGATGGGAACCCAAGTCTCCTTGTTCTTTCCACTGAACTACACTGCTTCCTCATTGTCGTTACCCTACTCTTCTTGCTTGTTTTTATAAGCCTCTATTTAGGAGGCCAGGCTACAGGCCAGAGTGCCCGGGGACTCAGGCCACTGTTGATCTCTCTTCTCGAAAGGTCCCACAGGCAAGGGTCCCCTTTTCTCTGCCAATTGCCTCCTGCTAGAGTCTCTAACTGCTAGCACTGAGTAACTATCCATCTTACGCCCTAGCTGGAGAAAGCCCGCCTAAGACATTGTGGTACAGTGGGAAGAACCCTGTACTGGTCATTAGTCCTGCCTCTGCCTCCTATTGTCTGTGTGACCCTGGATAAGTCCCTTCACATCCCTGGGCCTCGGTTTCCTCTTTTATAGAAGTGGAAGTTGGACTAAATTTGAGGCTTTCTAAAGTCTCTTCCAGCTCTGGCATCCTGTCACTCCCTTTTGATCGGGTTATCAAAGGGCAGTGCTTCTCAGGGAGAACCCTGGAAGTTGTGATGCCAGTGTTCTCGCTTCCAGATTAATCGCCTGATTATACTTTGTGAATCATTTATTGCCCGGGCTTGCTTCCCCCAGCTATCCCTCACCAGCCACCCTACTGTGCCCAGGGAACACAGTTCACTTCATGTTTTCATTATCATCTGTTTGGATATTATCTTGGGGAAGATTATCCATCTTAAAGTCGAGGGGGATTATCCGCACTCTTCTCTGCTGGCGCAATAAACTGAGAGTTGATTGGAATTCATTCCAACAAAAGAAGTACTCAGAGCTGTCTCACATTCTTCTTCCTTTTCCAGTTCTACCCAAATGGGTACCCTGAGTTTGTGATCAGTAAACTGGGCTATCTCTTTAATCTGGTCACCCTTAACCAAATAAGCAAGTGGAAGGTGACCTCCGTGGAGACTCTGGAAGCGGTGCTCAAAGCCAACTTTAGACGTGATGATTTGGTGATCTCTTGGCTACCTAATTTTTAATATATTTCAAGACTTGGGTGGGAGTTTTGGGGCCCCATAAAGAGGCTAGCAAGGATGGGTCTTTCTACAGGCTAATTGCCCCAGGGTGGGAGGTATTTCCCTTTAATTACGAGCCAGCAGAATGAGGTAATGAAGGCCCCATTCCATACACTGTTCCTTCTCCCCAAAAGAAAAAAAATGAAATGGAAAAAAAAAGGTCTTATATGCATGTGGCTGGGGCTGTAGATTAATGTACGAAGGGCTTTTGTATCCACGATCTTCTGTGATCTTCATGACAGCCCAGGGAAGAAGGGAGTTCCCAAGGTTATGAAGTAAGAACACGGGTGGGGAAGAGATTTGCAAGATAGTCTAATCAACTGATTGTTGAAGATGGTTCTGAGGTCTCCCCTCCTTAGATCAGACACCCCTGTAAGGTGCTTCTGTAGGTGTTCTCTAAGCTGTGCTCTTCCCAGCTCCCAGACCTGGAGTCCCTAGTCGACAGAATACGCCTTCCTGAAGGCTGGATAGGAGGCTAGACTAGATGGACTCAAAGTTCCCTTGCATCTCCTAGAATCCTAGGCTCTTCATTTCATAGATTCTGTGAATCTGAGCTTCTGTTATTATAGGTTATGGCAGTGATTAATAACTACCTCCAGAGGGGAGGCCCCCTCAATGTCACCTTCCTGAACACCATCGGTTCCAAATACCTCTGCGGCCTGACTGATGAGCAGCTCAGTTCCATAGAGCCATCCGTCCTCAGGTGAGCACAGGACTAGGAGCCAGTACCTCTCCCCGGGCCTTCTGGGTGGGTTTCTGGGGAGCTCAGAGGATGCTGTAAAGAGCACAGATTCATTGCCTCTTTTTGTATCCCTTGAACTTAGCACAGTGCCTGGCACATTATTGTTGTTCAGTAATTTCAGTTGTGTCCAACTCTTCATGACCTCACTTGGGGTTTTCTTGGCAGAGATACTAGACTGCTTTGTCATTTCCTTCTCCAGTTCATTTTACAGATGAGGAAGCTGAGGCAAAGAGGGTTAAATGACTTACCCAGGGTCACACAGCTAGTAAGGGTCTAAAGCCGAATTTGAACTTCCACTAGGGGAAAGCAAAACCATCTTAGACAAACCTAGTTGTAGAGCATCCAGGTGGCACAGTAGATAGAGTTCCAGGCCTGGAGTCAAGAAGACTCATCTTCCTGAGTTCAAATCTGGTCTAAGATTTTTACTAGCTGTGTGACTCTGGGCAAGCCACCTAATCCTGTTTGCCCCAGTTGCCTCATCTCCAAAATGAGCTAGAAAAGGAAATGGCAATCCACTCCAGTATCTTTGCCAAGAAAACCACAAGTGGGGTCACAAAGACTCAGACACGACTGAAACAACTGAACAACAACAACAAATTCCAAAGCCCAACCAAGGTGACTTTGGGTTAATCTACCAATCTGTAGATCAGATAACTACTGTCATTGTGGGTTGGGGCATTAATTCAGATAATTGAAAGGCTATAAAGAAATGATCCTTCCTTTGGTACTAGTGGAGAGGTAATTCAATTTAATTCAATTAGCATTTATTGAGTGTCTACTATGTGGAAGGCACTGTGCTAACTGCTGAGGAATCTAAAGATACAAGCAAAATATTTCCTACCATCAAAAAAGCTTACCTTTTCTTGAGGGGGGGTAGGATGGGAGGTAAACTATGCTTATTTTCTTGGTATAGTGGCTGGGCCTCAGTGCTCACACTGTGCAGTAAGAAGAATCCTGCCAATGACTAATAAAGTATTTTCATGGTCACTCAAAGTTATGACCCTAGAATTTGGAAGGAACAGGAGTAGGAGGTCTGCCAAACTCATCAACAGACATTAGTTAAGCATCTACTCTGTGCCAGGCACTGTGCACTGGAGATAAAAAGGGGAAAAAACAAAAACCAAACAACAGGGCTACCATCATCCTCCCAGTCACCAGGCTTAAAATCTAGATAGCATCCTCAACTCTTCATTGCCCCTGTATCCAATCTCTTGTCAAGGTCTTTCTAATCTACCTTTGCAACATTTCTCATCTATGGCCCTTTCTCTCCTCTGACACTGCCACCCCCCCGGTGCAGGCTGTCATCATGTGCTGGTTCTACCGTTGACAGAAATAGGGAAATTAGGAAGAAGGGTGAGTTTTGTGAAAAAAAAAAAAGATAATGATATTAGTTTTGGACATATTGAGTTTAAGATGTCTATAAGACACCTAGTTTGAGATGTCCAATAAGCATCTGGAGATGTGAGACGAGGTCAGCAGAGAGGTTAGGGCTGGATAAATAGATCTGAGAATCATTTGCGCAGAGGTGATCATTGTTTTATGGAAGCTGATGAGCTCACCAAGAAGGATAGGGTAGTGGGAGAAGAGAAGAGGGAACAGGATAGACTTTGGGGGCCATGCACAGTCAGTGGGCGTGACCTGAAGGAAAATCCAGCAAAGGACATTGAGAGGAGCCATACAGGTAGAACGAGAACTAAGAGAATATCAGAAGAACCTGGAGAGAAGAGAGCATGGAGAAGAAGAGGTTGTGTTCAACAGAGTCAAAGGCTGCAGAGATCTTAAGAAGACTGAGGATTGGAAAAGGCCATTGGATTTGACAGTTACAAGATCACTGGTAACTTTGGAGAGAGCAATTTAAGTTGAATAATGAGTTCAGAAGCCAGAATGCAGAGAGTTAAGAGGAGAGTGAGAGGAAACATCATTGCAGATGGTCTTCTTAAGTTGGTTTAGCCCCAAAATGGAGGAGAGATATAGGATGGTAGCTATTGGGAATACACAAGTCAAGGGAGTTTTTTTTGCAGAGACATGGGTCTCCATAAGTATTTGCAGGTAGCAGGGAAGCAGCCAGTAGACAGGGAATGTTGAAGATTAGTAAGGGTGGAGTTGATAGAGGCAGCAATCTGCTGATGAAGACCGATGGGATGGGGTCACATACACATAAAAGGAGTGCCTTGTCAAGGAGAAGGGTCACCTCATCATGTAAGCTGGGCAGAGGAGAGAGCAGCAGTAGGCATCTGAGTGATAGGAGAGGAGGAAGCCAGGAGAAGAGGGGATTGACTTCAGTTGGCCTCAATTTTTTTCAGTGAAATATGAGGCAAGGTACTCAACTGAGAGAGTTGGGGAGGGGGAGCCATGGGAAGTTTGAGGAGGGATGAAAAGATTTGGAAAAAACACTGTGAGTGGAACTGTGAATCAATTAGGTAGGTGTAAAAGGATTACCTTGCCCCAGCTGAGATCATGTAACATGGTTTCATGATAAAAACGAGAGGATAAAGGTGAGGAACAAGGTAAGAGGTGGATGAATACCAAGATGGTTCCTAAGGCAATGCTGGACTCAGGGAAAGCCAAGGTTAGATGCCAGGAAACAAGGCCAGGCCATTTTTGTTTAAGATGTCTGGTGCCACAGGCCCTGTGGATGAAATTTCCAGGCTCTGGAAAATCAAAGAAACCCAAAACATCATAGCTGAAGTGGACCTTAGAAGTCATCTTGTCTATCCCCATCTCATTTCATGGTGGGAAAACTGAGGGGTCAGAGAAGGGAAAAGACTTCTCCAACGTAATGCTGTGAGTTAGTATCAGAGCTAGGTCTAGAACCCAGGGCTTTTGACTCCTAATCCAGGGCCCTCTGCTACAGCACACTATGATCTATCATTCTATACTCCTCCGCAACTTGCTTTAGGCGTTTAGACTCTTTCTCTTAATTTGTGTAAGCTTTGGGTAGAGAGGGGATGATCACATGGCTTCTGTGGATATCTGGTAGAAAGAGCATAGAAGGGGAAGATTCTAGGAAGAAAGAATATATATATACATATATGTATGGATGTGTATGTATGTGTATATATCTGTAAATGTATGTTTGTATATGTCTATCTCTATCTTTCTATCTATCTGTGTCTTGGGACAGTACCTTTCTGCCTGACTGTGTGGTAGCCCTGTCCTTGGTGCTGGATTGAGGTGGGAGGAGTCAGTAACTGCTGATGTTTTAGCTTTTCTCTTCCCCCTCTCTCTGCCACTCCCAGAAAAGCCAAGCCCTTGAACCCATCTGCCTGCTCCCAGGCACAGAAGAATATCCTCTATCCAAAGGCCAAGACTTCCTTCCAAGGCATAGCATTCCCAAAATACTACACGCTGATCCAACCTTATCTAGGTAAGGCAGGGATGAGTTGTGTGGTTGGGGTGGTGTGGGGAAATAGGAGGAAGAGAGTAGGGGGAGAGGGGAAGAATCTGTTGGGGGTGGGGGATAGATGGAGAGGAAACACACGCTTGATCAAAAAGGACAGTAGGCCTCCCAGCTTTGTCACACTCCACCTCTGTGACTTTGGGCAGATCACAGAACTCTCTGAGCTCCTCGGAGTTTTTTCATCTATAAAATGAAGGGGTTGGACGAAATGACCCCTCCAGTTCCAAATCCATGGTCCTATGATCCCATAATCATTATTTTCAATATTGAAGGGTAATAGGAATTTAATTTATTCTGTTTGGCCTCAGAGGTTGGAACAACGGCCAATGCAGAAAAGCCATAGGGAGGCGAATATTGGCTTGATATGAAGAACTTTCCAACAATTAATTTGAGAGGCAGTGTGGTAGGATGGAAAGAACACTGGCTATGGAATCAAAGGACTGGGTTTGAATCCCAGCTCTGACAATTGTTACCTATGTAATCCTGGGTAACCTCTCTTACCTCTGATATGGAATACCCATATAATCTTGGGTAACTTCTCTAAAGGTTGAATTAGCTGACCTAGACGGCCCCTTGCAGGTCTATATATATGAACCTTTTATCCCATGAAATGTAAAATGAGTTGCCATAAAAGGTAGTGAGTTCCCCATCATTACAGGACTTCAAACAAAAACTGGTTGATACGTTGTCAGAACTGCTGTAAGGTGGTAGCTGGACTAGGTGATCTCTGGGGTCACTTCCAACTCTGAGATTCTGTTTCAGAGGAACTAGGGGAAAGGAATAAAAAGAAGGGGAGCAGTGGATTGGGCTTGGCTCTGGTTTTCCCATGGACTACTGCCTCTATTTGATTCTTCTTTCAAATCTAGGCAGGTCCTAGGTGAGCCAGGAGTGAAACTCAGCATTTCAGAGCCCCATAACCTCTCAGAGCTACCCTTAAATCTCGACTACCCTCTCCCCCCTGTCCCACTATAGGGTAGAGTGAGAGGCCAAAAAAAGTCATGGAACATCAAATCTGGAAGGGACCTTGGAAATCTAGTCCAACTCCTTTATTTTACAAAAGAAGAAACTGAGGTTCAGAAAAAGAAAGCAATTCATCCTTAATCACACAGTGAGTGAATGACAAGAGCTGGGACTAGACCTCAGTTCTCCTGTATCACTGTCTAATTCTTTTTCTACCACACCAGACTGCCCTGGGTTCTAATCTCAGCTCCACTGCTAATCTGCTGTGTGATCTTGAGCAAATCACTTTGGTTTACTCCTCTGGACTATTTTTTTAAGGTTCCTTCCAGTCCTGACATTTTGCATTTGATTTGATATTCTCAGTAAGGGTGGCATCATCCTACTCACTGCTGGTAGGAGGGGCCAGGGGCCAGGGTTTTGCCTTGGACTCATATTTGACTTCCCCTCCCCTCCCCTCTCTCTCCTCTTAGGTGGAGCCCCAACACAGGATCTAAAAGACCTCAGCCAAAAGAATGTTAACATGGACATAGAAACATTTAAGGAACTACAAAAAGAAGTCATCTTGGTACAGTTAGAACCTTCAGCCTATTGGGGATGGCCAAAGAGGGAGGGAGGGTCTACTGAGGGCAAGAGAACCCTACCACATGAGGTCAGAGGGAAGCACCAGCACATGGGGTCCCTTTGAGGTTGAAGATGGTATGGCAATGGCCCAGAGGCTCCAGTTGCTTGGTGGGAGGCAGTTTAAATTCTCACTCAATTTTGATCTTGGTTTAAATCCCAGGCCCTCCAGACCTAATTAATTGTGGTTGGGAGTAGAGGAAGGATATATGCACATGTGAACCTCTTTCCACCCCAACTAGATCTAAACCATCCTAGGGGAGGGCCAGGGAGTCTCCTTAGAAATCCCAAAGCTGGGCTCCGGGGTGCTCAACAAGATATTGGCTTTGTCCTTCAGCCACTGACCCCCGAGGAGGTACGCGGACTCCTGGGACGAAACCTAATGGGGCTGAAGGCCGAGGAGGAAAACTCTCCAGTCCGGGCATGGATCCTCAATCAGCGTCAGGAGAGCCTGGATGACTTGGGCATTGGGCTCAGCGGGGGGATCCCCAATGGTTACATTGTCTTCAGCTTCAGGGACAAAAATTAGATAACAGTCTTCCTTCTTTGGTGGGGGGGGTGGGGAACTGCACAGGGCTTTGGCCCTCTCTCATTCCAGAAAGTTGTAAAAATAAAAGAAATAGTTTTACACTCTGAGCCTTGTCGTCTTCCTGAAGCTTGATCCCAGTCAAGAACTACATAAATGTGAGCTTTCAAGCAGGACAGATGGTATTAATAGAATTAGAGCAGGAAGGGATCTTTAAAGTCATCTTTTACACTTCATTATGCAGAGAGGGAAATAGGAAGTGATCTGAGCAAACTCACTGGATGAGCTAATAAGTGAGTTGGGACTCGAACCTGACTTGAGCAGAATTGGGAGGGAACGGTAAGAATCTGCCAGGGAGTGACAGGTGAGTGCTCCTCACTCTGACGCTCAGGTGCTCTCCATCGCCTTCGCCTTCAGCCCTTTCCCTTTGCAAGCCCTAAGCCCTGAGAAAGCAAGAGTCCTGCACACTAGTCTATAGGTGGGCCCTGCTGGTTCAAAGTACTGTTGAAATGAAAAGTAGGGGCTAAAAGGAGTCCCAGGGTCTGTAAAAAACGCTTAGGAACAGAAGCTGGGAGGTCCTGTTCCCACCCCCCCGATTGAGATTTTGGACTCTGTCTCCGAAGGTCCTTTAACCCCGGGGGCCGCTGAACCTTCGGTGGATTGCTAGTATAATGGCTCAGGGATAGCCGATGCTGATTCAGAAAGAGGCTGGGGTGTCCTTTTGACGTGCCTAGCCCTCACACAGAGAGGAGCAGAAAGGGCAGGTGGTACTGCTTCAGTATCTGTGTGGTAGACCCCAGATGAGGAACAGGAGGAACTTGGACAGACTCAAGCAATAGCCGGGTCCTCTTTCTCTATCCTCTTCTCTAATCCTGGACTTTCCTGATACTTTGGTTCCTGGCTTGAGAGCCTGTGAAGCGTGCACGGATGGGGCGTCGGCCCCCCGCGAGGCACGCGCGGACGGGGTGTCAGACTCCTGTGCTGGGGACCTGACCCATTGTTCACCTAGGTCAGTAACCCATGCTGACATATCACTGGGGGCCCGAGGCTTTAGCTCCCTGCTCCTACCCCCAGTGCTGTTGGACTCATTAACTTGCGGGTGGAGGGGGAGGAAGGAGAGAGGAAGGGAGGATTAGCTGACTCACCAAGCAAAGCTTTATGGGAAGTGCCTGAAGCCCACCGGGGCATGACCTCTACTGGGATCCTAGAAGGATTCTATCTGGCCCCAGATGGGTAAGTCCCTCTGGGAGTCCAAAAAGGGGTCCACTCTCCCCTCCTCTAAGGGACTACATGCAGGACAAAGAAGGAGTGGTTGACAAGCTTGAGGAGCACCTCACATTTATTAAAATCAGACCATAAAGACAGCAAAACTTGAGCTTTCCCCACTCAGAGAAACATAGCTCTTGGCAGAGGTGCAGTCAGGCTCCTGCTAGGGGAGGCCTGACCTTCTGTGGCCTTCAAGCTGTTTCCAAGCATGCTCAGCCTGGATTTAGGCCCTCTGGGACTCTAGAAGACTTGAGAAAGACAGAGACTGCCCCAGGTGGTTTGCCCTGTGTCTCCCGCGTCTGGACAGTGGAGAGCTGCCCCGCTGAGGGTAGCCCAGCCAGCTCAGGTGAAGAGCCCAGCTTTCCCCAAGGTACTGCCGCAGAAACAGTCTTCAGTCCAAATCCTGTCTGGCTGGAGTCCAGGGGTGGTAAGAGCATTTGTGAAGATGACTCCTGGGGGAAGGGCAGGGAAAAGGTCTCTGAGCAGGTCCCCTTGCAGTCCAGCCATCATTCCTCCAATGGGTACCCAGGTTCTGAGAATAGCAAGGCCTCCCAAAGGCCAAGGCCCATCATCAGATCAGGGCCAAAGTCAGCCTCAAGTCTGCTTGGCACCCTTGTCCATTCTGAGTTGAAGAGAGAAGTATATAAGGGTCCTAGTTGTAGATCGAACTCCATGTTTTGGAGAAGGGAAACTTTTGATTCAAAGACGATGGTGGAGTCCAGGGCAGGGCTGGTAAAAGAAGAGAATTCTTGTCCAGGAGTATCAAAGATGCTTCATCAGTAAGGTAAGGCCTACCGGGAGGCCAAGGGCATTGAAGAGGTGGAGTGGTACCAGGACACAGCAGCCTAGAAGGGAGGAACAGGGAGGAGAAATTGGCACCAGCTTGAGTCTTGGAAACATATAGGGAGCTCGCAATTAATCACACCAATGTTGGAGAGGGAGGACAAATATTCTTTTAAAAAAGCAATTAAAAATCTTTTAAACTTTAAAAAATGTTGCTTATTGAGTTTGGAATGTGGCTTACTTCTTGTATTTGGATGTGGGTGTGTCTGGTGTTCTTGGAATTCATAACATTCTCAGGAACATGATGAAGACACGTGATAACAGCTGATAGCTCTTTCCATTCTTAATTCATCCCCATCCTATCCCCTTAACTCCATGCTAGCAGCGGATGGCATCACCTCTTAGAATCATGCAAAGGACCAGCCTGAGCAGAGCAGCCTCTTCTTTTCCTAAGCTAAGACTCTCTCTGCCTCATACCTTCCCTGGTTATAGAAGAGGAAAACGTGTACTAGAGCTTAAATATTTTTTTTTCTGGAAGCTGAAGGTGACTGGGGAGCCTTTTACCTCCTTCTCACAGAACCTCCTACTGAATGGAAGTCTCCATGCAAAATGAGAGTTGATATGGGATATGGCAGTGTTAATAAAGGGGTGGCATGAGGAGAGAGAAACAACAGTACTGTCAAAGGAGAGGAGGTGTGAGAAGCAGTGGTGATTGTGGTTGTTGTTTGTCCTTCATTCTGGAAGAGGACCATGACATCAGGAAGGTGATGCCGTGACTTAAAAGTGAATTGGATTTAAGTGAAGGAAAGCTGTGCAAAGTCACCAGCCTCACTTTCTCCTCCGGAGCCATCTGGGTCCAGTGGCCAGTTATGGATCAGGACTACTGGAGATGGCCCAGGATGCAGTGGGAGACCTTGGCCTTCTGAGTTCTCACTTTGACTGAGGCAACACCCATTCATTGATTATGGCTGTTTAAGTGAGTCAAGGGATGGCCCCTTTAATACAAAACAACAATAGCAAACACCACACTACAAAGAATGAAGGACCAAGGAGGCCACAGATGCCACCAAGGAAACTGTAAACAAAGAGACTGAGCGTGAAGTTTCACTGTGGATAGTGGGGCATGGGAGTTTAACTTCAGATCTGCAGTTTCTACCTGGGAGTTGCTGGGGCCTTGGACACCTACCAGAGGTAGTGGCGAGAGTGATATGCTCACTGGGTGAAGCAGAGGACTTGTGCCCTTCGTCAGTGATCCAGGCAGGGAGAGGCTTCCCAGTGGTGGCAGGGTAGGGGTACAGCTGCTTTGGGGTCCCCTCCAACCCCAGGGCCTCCAGGGCTGACTGGTTTTGGCTTTGGAGCCAAGAGCTTACAGCTGGGTTGCTCCGGGCCTTCCGAAGATCTGCCACATTTCGCCCAAGTAATTTTGCCACGTTGCTGAGACTCAGGTTCTGCGTGGGGAAAAGGAATTTGAGACCCTCGCTTCCTTTATCAGGCACTCTCCCGCCCACACCTCCTATGCCCATAAATGAGAATACCATTTGCAGCCCTTAAGCCAATGAATAACAGACCTGGTATCACCTCAAAAGTGATGCAATGCAAAGAACCCTGGGCTGGGATTCAGGAGACCTGTATTCTGCCCTCATCTCTACCACTACCTAGTCCCTGCATGACCTTGGGCAAACTATTTCCCTTCCCCTAAGTCCTGGTTTCCTGATCTGTCAGATAGGAATAATGATACCCTTTCGAAAAGCCCAGTGAAGGAGGCAGGGTAAATATTGCGTATCATCTCATGTTTATATAATCCTTTACAGCTTTACAAAGAACTTTTCTATCTACTCTTGGGGTGGAAACACTTTGTAAACAGTTCAGCACTGTACAAACATGTGGGGCTATTATTATTATGAATTAGTCTGGTGAAGGGGCCACCCCCATTGACCTTCCTCATTCTGTCTGGCTCAACCTGATACTTAAGTGGACTTGTTTCCCGCTGGGCACAGAAGGGGAAGAGCCTAGCTTGTCTTAAAAAAAAAAAAAAAGCTTGGTGGATAATCCACTTGAAAGTAAGGGAGAAACTGTGAAGAGGTCATCTACTCCATCCTCCTGCATTTCCCCCTAAACAACTCTAATTCCAGCTTGTATAACTCTTGTCTGGACAGCCAACCTGGCTACCAGGTTCAATTCTATTCAACAAATATCTTTGGAACACCCTTGTTATGTGTAGCCTTTGTCCCCACCCTCTGTAACATCCCTCAAGTCTGTTCTTTCCTTTCTACTACCACCACCACCCCCCTAGTTCTGGCCTGTTTTCATTTGGATTATTTTAATAACCTCTTAACTGATCTCCCTGCCTCCAGCCTATTTTCCTTCAATTCACTCTTCACCCTGCTATTAAAGTAATCTTTGTAGGACTACAACACACAAGTCCATTCTCATCCTTCTTCTGCTCCAAAACCTTCTGTGGCTCTCCATTGCCCACTGGATAAAGTACAAGTTCCTTAGCCTGACTTCCCAGGCACGGTACATTTGTTGACACTGTCACCTCTGCCTGAAACATTCTCCTTCCACATCTCTGCCTTTTGAAGTCTTTCCCTTCAAGGCCTGGCTCAGTTGCTACCTTCTCCATGAAGCCTTCCCTGATCTTTTCCTGCTGGAAGTGATTCCTCTTTTAATCTTGTCTACTTCTCTATTTGGACCTTTCCTGGACATTCAGTACATGACTTACATTACAGTGATTTGTCTATTTGTCTCATCTTTCCCACTAAATTATAAGCTCCTTGATGGCAGGGATTGTGACTGGTTTCATCTCTTATCTCCAGAGCCTAGCACAGTGCATTGTACATAGCAGGCATTTAATGAAAAGTTTTTGAATTAAGTTTGTACTTTGCTGTGTGGTATTAAGCAACAGTCTCTGAAATAGGAATGGGGGACCCCAGTGACCCAGAGAACCAAGGCATGACCATGTGATTGACCAGTTAGAGCTGGAAAGATGGGTCAAATCTGATCCTCCCTGCAATAAC